AAAGAGAAGATTGAGGACAACTAATAATTGATTTCCTTCAACATCAAAAGCTACCGGATAATCCACGGTGAAAAAATCGAAATCAAGAGACGTGTGTCCCGCTTTATCTTTTATATGGGAATGCTTTAACGACGATCATTTGATGGAGTTTTTCTTCGATGCTTAAGTAATGATGATGCAACACATGTTGTGGAAGAAACCCACTCTGAAATCTGTAGTGCTCATCATTTTGGACCCGAACTCCATTTAGGAATAAAGATGATAGTTTACCACTAGCCGACTATGGTACAAGACTCCATGGACTATGCAAAAAAAATATGAAGCTTGCAAAGTCCATGTAAATTTAATCCATCAACCTTGGAAACCATTATTTTCAACAATAGCTTCATGGCCATTCGATATATAGGGTCTTAATGTAATTGGACCCAAAACTGCAAAACCCAAAATTGCAAAGTCCTCAGTTGGGCATTCATTCATCCTCGCCAGAACTGACTACTTCTCTAAGTGGGCTAAAGTTATACCTTTGAAGGAAATAAAGAAAGAAAATGCTGCGGATTTCATCTGCATCTAGATCACTTGTCGATATAGGGTCCCATGATACATCATCACTGATAATGGAAATTTTTTCTGAAATAGCAATATAAACAATTTATGTGCAAAGTTTGGAATCAAACGATATAACTCATTTATGTACAATGCAGCATCTAACGGGTTAGTAGAGGCATTCAACAAAACTTTGTGTAGTCTACTAAAAAATGTTGTCTCCAAATTAAAAGGAGATTGGCATGAAAGAATCAATGATGTCTTATGGGCTTATCAAATTACTTATCGAACTCGAACACAAGCCACTCTTAACACTTTAGTGTATGGAGTAGAAGTTGTATTTCCTTTAGAGTGTTGAATCCCATCATTTCAAATTACCATTCAAGAAGGTTTGACAATAAAAAAATGCTCGTCTTCGATTGAAAGAGCTAGAAGCTTTGAATGAGAATGGATTAGAAAACACAAATGCACTTGAAATTGTATCAAGCTTGGATGGCGAAATCCTTCAACAAAAATGTATGACTGAGATCATTTCAAGTCGGAGATTGGTACTTTTTGTATGCATACCAATTATAATCACAAGAAAAATAGGGAGTAAGTTCCAGCCAAAATGGGATGGTCTATTTCTTGTTACTCATGCATTCACTAACAGAGCATACGAGATCGTTGACAAAGATGGACTACAAATCGAGCCTATCAATGAAAAATTTCTAAAGTATTTTTACACTTGGAAGTCTTTATTTTGTAGATTTTTCATTGTAATAAAATGCAACATTAGCCCGCAAGAGGATAAACTGTGAACAGCCCCAAATAAACAAAAAAAAAAAATTGTTCTTGTAATGAACTACATTCGACTTGATCCCATTTAGGTACGTAGATAGCTTGAATAAATTACAAATTCAAGTTTAGTCACAATAAATAAATTCATTCAATTTGTGGTAATTGAAAAAATATACATAAGAGGCACGAAAAGGAGAAGTTCATTATATAAAAAATGAGCGGTAGCAAGCCAAAGTTCATACAATATGATCTTAAAGAAGATCAGAAAGTCTCAACTTTATCAAGATCGCTCGTCATTAATCATTTGTAGGAAATTATCTTAAAGGGTGTTCCTTTTCTAATCAATGAATGCTATGTTAGTTACATATCTAGTTTGTGATTCTTCTAATATTGCTTTCACAGTTTCAAACATACTCTTTTATTCCTGGTGGGTTTGAAGTTCATCATGGAGTCTGTTCAGCCCAAAAGTTAGCTAACTAATTTTACCTTCCAATGAAGAACACGTGGAATCCTCTACTTCCAGTTAAATTTTTAAAAGTTTCAACTACCAGTTTTTTCTTCAACGGTTGGACACTCCAAGTGTAGCTTTCTTTCAGATAAATAAGAGTCAACCTCTTTAAGAAACACATTAATGTGTTCCATCAAAGGGGTTGGATTTGTATGGAACGAGCTAGTAATCACAATTTGAAGAATTAAATTATTTTCATCCCACCAAGATTAGATGTTGGAAAATCTATGCTCCAAAACATTCCTAAAACCCTTCTAAAGATAATTAGTCATGGCTTCTTGTGGAGAAACCTTCAAGTAAGGGGACTCTTAAGTTATCCCAGGCGAGGGACTAGACATGAAAAAATAAATTGGAGTTGTCTCGAAGATTGTTTGTCTTTGAAGGCGAAATGTTGACTAAAACCAATTAAAATGGAACAACTGGGACTTCTTGATTGATCTCTGAAATGTTAGCCCTTACAGTTTCGAAATTCACTTCGTCTTCATTATTGAAACCATCAACGTTATGTGCCAAAGTACCTTCATTAATGGCACTCGAATAATTGCAAGGAGGGCCATGAGAATCATAAGTATCGTCTAATCCTTGAAGTGCATCGATTCACCTATCATTCTCTCCAGTCTAATCTTGCACCAAGTTTGGATTCATGGAGAAATTTAGTCGTTTATGGACGCTCGAAAAACCTACAAAAGAATAAAGTATGATCTCCTCAAAAAAGGAAAAAAGAAGCAAAGGAAAACAAGAAACATACCCATATTTTTTGTTCTAGGTGACGTGTCTAAAAATTCGTCATCTGATGGTGTGTTAGGGAAACTGATGTTAATGTTAGAAGCTTCTATGTCACATTTTGAAGGACTTGGAATGACTTGAAGTAACATTGGTTTTACCGATCGTTTAATTATATATATTTGAGAAAGAGGAGCTAGAAATTGAAGTTTGTAGTACGGGATCAAATACATGTACTACGTTAAAAAAAAAGGCTTATACCTGATCACTTGAACTTTCTTCTTCTAGATTTAGAGTTTTCTAGGTGCTTGGAATGCTCAATCTCCAAGACTACTATGATCTGAAGTCAAAATTGCTTCAGGTACATTATCAACAGGCTCAAAGGCCGAAGCGAATTTCGTTAAGAGAACTATAATTTTAATTTTATTAATATCTCTTTCATTTTGATGTTTTGGTTCCCTCTTTCGAGAAATCTCTTCAAGAATGATAGTTGGAGGGTTTAACCCTTCGGCTATGACCTTGTTCGAAGTCAAATTAACAAAGTTGCGGCTCTCACTAGAAGATAAAATCTGCACTTCAACCTTGGCCAAGTTGGCAGCACTTGGTTAATCCACCAAACTTGGTACTCAACATTAACATTTTGATGTGTATTCCTCACATATGCTGGAATATGAAATATAGATCCATTTATCATCCAAGTTAAAGATAACCAAACGCGATATATGTTGCTTGCATTGGGAGCAATATCCAACTTTCTTGGTTAAACGGAAAGTTTCTGTGTAAAGTTAAGTTGTCTCGCAAACCTATGAAGATTATATGTCTCAAGAATGAAAGGGGAGTTTCCTCGGCGATAAGAAATAAATCCAGATCGAATACTCATCATATATTCTAAGGTATCTATAGACCTTGGTTGGTCATCCACTTGTATATCGGGGTGAGATGATGATGAAAATGGATTCTAGGAAAAGTCATAGACATCCATCATTCCACGAATAAGGTCCTGACAATCAACAACATTTTTCTCCCAAAACTAGAAAACATTCAAAGTGCCATCAAATCTTCAGGGTATAGGACGAGAATAATTCTTGTCCACAAGAGCATAAATACCTCGAACAAAATAAGTTGCAACCTAAACATAAAAGAAAATGTCCAGTAAATGAATATGAAATCAAGCCGAGGTCGAGGTTTGACCAGTGGTTCGACATTCGAGTAAATCTTCTAGAAATGCTTGCTAATATGGGAGGAACTAGGCTGTAAGTATACTCGCCTATCATCCTAGAAGACGCTTTAAAAGTCTCAACTTTTATACATTCATCTCCCAGATGGAAGAACAAAATGACAAAGCCATAAGGAGAGATAAGTTGCTATTTCTAACTCTTCTTCTTCTTCTTCCTCCATAGACAAAGATATTGACAAAATTACTTCAATGATGTTGATCCCTATGAGAAATATCTCTCGACTTGTCTACTATTACGAGCTTCCGTATTTTCTTTGATACTATTTGATGACACCTCTTGAATGGATTTAAATTCATAGTATTCTTATAATTTTTTTTGTTGAGAATTCTTGGCACAATCATTCTCATGAAACCTAAAATTAATATAGCTCCCATGGCTAAAGTAATCAAATTCTGTCGCATTGGCAGTCAACGCAAAAACATTAAAGAGGTGTAGACAAAACTTGGGAAAGTGATCCGTCAATTCTGAAAGATTTGGGACTACTTCTTCATAATAACGACCCATGATCGAAAGTTCGATTATCTCACAAATTTCCCAAAGAAAAATGTCGATTTCACCGCTGAGAGTCACAAACGTGTTGGTTTTTGGATACCAAACCTTACAAAGAGCTCTATAGATAGAGTTTGGGCGATAATAATTTTTTGTAGCAGAGATGACTGCAGAAGCTGACTCACGAAAATTCCTCTTGAGCAGAAGTTTTTGGACCCTTGAAGACTACTCTCAAAACTTTGAAAGAAAAGAGATCTTTCCACGACTGACAAGTGCACATCTCCATCATATTTTTTTATTGTTAATCCTCTCACAAATAACGGCATTTGGAATGCACTCCATACTATGAGAATGAAAAGGCGGAAGGCACAGAGAGGAAAGATGACTGCTGGAACAGTTGGACTTGCCATGTCTAAATTCTCATGACATTCACTAATAGTGGTAGATGTATGTAACTTCTGACAATGGCTCCAAGATGTTAGGAAAAGGATCTATCGTTGGCTTATAGATGGTGCTAATTTCATTAGTCAGTAATAAAACGTTATTTAGCCCCTATTTGAACTTATTTTTTCAATAAAATAATTTTTTTTTTTCCTATTTTCTAATTACACATTTTTCCCTATATATATATATAATTTTCAAAAATAGGTCAAACAAACGCTCAGTGGTTAGCCGCCTTGATTGAATATATTGTACAATAATTTTCTCAAATTGGGTCACGTAAGCCCTATTTGTCCGGGGGCATGTGTCCCCCTGTTGGCAGTGTGCCTGCCGTGTAAGCATCCACTCTCCGCCACCCTCCCAGCATATGTACTGTAATTCGCTTTCTGTAATCAAGAAGAAAATGGCAGAGCAGCCCATCAAATTCGGCATACTTGGTTGTGCCAGTATAGCCCGAAAAGTATCTCGGGCCATAATCCTCTCCCAAAATTCCACTCTTTACGCCGTTGGCAGCCGATCTTTGGAAAAAGCAGCCAAATTCGCTATGGAAAACGGCTTCCCAGAATCAGCCAAGGTGTACGATTCCTACGACGCCGTTTTGGATGACCCAGACGTAGATGCTGTCTATGTGCCACTTCCAACTAGCCTGCACGTGAAGTGGGCAGTCCTAGCTGCCCAGAAGAAGAAGCACTTGATTTTGGAGAAGCCCGTGGCGCTCAACGTGAAGGAACTGGATTTGATTCTAGAGGCGTGTGAATCCAGTGGGGTGCAATTTATGGATTCTACCATGTGGATGCATCATCCCAGAACTGCTTCAATGAAAGAGTTCCTCTCCAATTCGGAGCTTTTCGGTGATCTCAAATCAGTGAGTTAGACTTCTGTTGGTTATTTCATTTTATGCCAATATAGTTTGTTATTTTCTTATGAATTTGGCTGGTTCCTTGTTTTCCTTTTTCTTAATTTTGAGATATTCTTAATCAGATTAGAGGTCGAAAACTATTAAGTAAAAAGTAATACAGTTGTATTAAAAAGATATTTCAAAATATCATTCATATCAAGGAATCCTTATTTGCCCAATGGTAACTTCGTTCTATAAAATCCCATATCGAATAAGGATAAAAAAATAATCTTAACAAGGTTAACCTTTTAAAAGGAGTTTTAAAAGAAGTTGAGATTTACTGTCCAGCGAATTAATTTTTAACATATCATTAATTTAGTAGGTTAGTGATGAAATTAATGTTGTAAATTTGAGATGACATGTTAATTATTGATAATATGTCAAAAATTAATTGGATAGCAAATCGACTCTTTTTAAACTGGAATCTCAAGTCTTAATATAATGATATCAGAATCCATTAAATTCTAATGAACAATTCGATTCGATTAAGAATAAAAAAATAATGACTACACGAATTTCAAGATTGATTTGCTCAAACAAGCTTCCATCTTGTTAGTTTGTTAAGCGATAAAAAAGGAGATCAACATATAAGACTTGGACTACCCCTCTTAACATGGTTGTTGTTTGAGAATGATAAAAAAATTGCTTCACCATTTACTTCGATACTTTTAAGATTGATTTAATCTTCTACGAAAAATAAATTTCTTGTACACTCTGCAGGTAAATAGCAGCTTTACATTTGCGGCTAAACAAGATTTTCTGGAGAATGACATTCGTGTAAAACCAGATCTTGATGCTCTCGGCGCTCTTGGTGATGCTGGTTGGTACTGCATCCGGTCAATCTTGTGGGCTTCCGATTTTGAACTGCCAAAAACAGTGCTTGCTCTGCGTGGCCCTGTCTTTAACAAGGTAGGAGTTATTATATCTTGCGGTGCATCCTTGCATTGGGAAGACGGGAAAGTAGCCACCTTCCACTGCTCTTTCTTGGACAACTTGACAACGGATGTAACCGTGGTTGGAACAAATGGCACTTTGCATCTACGCGATTTCGTTATTCCATTTGAAGAGAAAAAGGCATCATTTTCTGTCGCTACAAAATCAGGATTCACTGATCTCTTGACCGGGTGGAAGCCGAAGCCAAGTGAACATCATGTCACTACAGATCTCCCTCAAGAAGCCCTAATGGTGAGGGAGTTTTCTAGACTGGTCGGAAGTATCAAATTTGATGGTTCTAAACCTGAGATAAAGTGGCCTACCCTGAGCAGGAAGACACAGCAGGTTTTGGATGCTGTCAAGCTGTCAATTGAGAGAGGTTTCGAAGCTGTTGAGGTTTAGTCCTATGATGCTTTCTATGATTTCTGTTGCATGGGATTTGTACTTGTCACATGTAAAATTACATTGCTGCCATTTTATCGTGTGATTAATTTGCAATCCTTTTCTTGTGCTGTATCCAGGTCGATTGCCTGGTTTTTAATAATTTAAATAAAAGTTGAACTGCAACTATGAAAATATATTTACTTTAATTATTTAGATAAGATAATTAGCAATCTTGTTAGAAGCAGTTCAGTTTGGATTGTTAAAACTTTTAGATCAGATTTACTATTTTGAGGAATACGAGGAGAACTACGGTGAAAAAGCAACGTTTATGCCTCTGTATTTACAATTTTGCATTACATAATTACCTAAAATATCAATATATGAGCAGATTCTATCAATTGATTGTAAACATTTAGTATAACTATAAATACCGTAAAATTGTATTGTTAATCATTCATCTTGCACAAGATACGCTACATATTTTATTAATCAAATTAAATCTCAGAAAGAATATGAAATTATTGTGTACGACTATGTTCATCCATTGTAATTTTTTAACTGCAAATAGTTAATTCGCAAGAGTCAAATTATCATACAACTACGAAGTTTAGTTTCTCTTTTAAGATAAAGTTTAATATTTTAGAGCGCTTATACTACTTCAATCGACTCAGTATATAATAGAATAAAATTATTGACATTTGAGACTATTGATCGGAAAACCCCTTGTCTTTCAGAAGCTAAATTACTAACATAAAATGTATTTTGTAACCAAAAAAATCGGTGCTGCTAAGAAAATCCGTAAAAGAAACAATATTTGACAACTTCAATTTATGAATGCAAAAAAGCTTGTCATCATTAATTAGTGCCATAAATTAACATTCTGTTACTCTTATGTTGTTTATCTGCAAATTGTCCTAGGTGCCAGTAACGTCTTGTAGTAAATTGTGGAGATGGATCTCGTAGTGGAGAATATTTTTGCAGAGAAATGAATGACCTTTAAAACTTGCCTTTAAAGAATATGTAACTACTAGGCAAGGGTTAACAAAAAAATAAAAGAACAAGAAAAAGAAAAAGAAATAAATAAATAAAAAAGAAAAGAGAAGAAAAGAAAAGGAAAAAAAAAAAAAACATTGTTAATTTTTAACCAAACTAACAAACTGTCACTTTGTAACCAAACTAACATTGTGTTTAATAAGAGTTTGTTTGGTATGGATTTTGATAATTGATTTTTTGACCATTAGTGATAAAGTGAGTTCTGTCTGTGAGAAAAGAATTCAAAAACGATGGTTGAAATAGTGAAATAATAGTCAAAAAATTGATTTTAATTGGTTTTTAATCCGTAACAAACAAGCATTAAGTCCCCATCCACATCCAAGAATCAATAGATGGCCACTTTAACAAATAGGTTTCTAGCATGATTTTGGTAGTTTTAGATACAAATTCCCCATTTGCGAAGTTGTGAATTTGACTTTTGAATCCCATTAATTTTTGGGTTGGTCTATGGGTACATAAGGGTTGGTACATAATGGTGTCCACACCCTCACATGAGAGTGTGGATACCATTATGTACCAACCCTTATATACCACAAGGGTTTTCCTTAATTTTTACTAGTTGTAGATAGTAGATATACATTGACAAAGGTTAAAAATAATGTTTATAAAGTAATATGTTGAATTATGAGGGTGTGGACATCATTATGTACCAACCCTTATATACCACAAGGGTTTTCCTTAATTTTTACTAGTTGTAGATAGTAGATACATTGACAAAGGTTAAAAATAATGTTTATAAAGTAATATGTTGAATGATCTGATTGCAACTAAATGAAGTCGTTCGTTGTCATAAATTTGTAGAATGTAATAGATATATTGACATTTTCATTAGTTTTGACAAATATATCAGCAACTTTTAATATACACATTAATAAAATTCAAGCGAAATGATATAATTGATTCTAATTAAAGTGTGCTGAAGCTCTGTTCTCGTCAATGTGATGCTCTAACTTTTTTCTTTATTTCTTACTTCTATTAGAGCAAGAGGTGATGCTTAACTAGCAAATGCATGCACTTATTTTACAACCTATCACTAAATTCTTCATACAAATAGTAAAAATCAATTTTGTAAAGACAAAGAAATTAGATATGATTATAACAAGGACTTAGATATTTGATTAATGAAGGTTAAGTACCAAACAAATAATCTAAAGAATATTTTGTTACGTGATTATGGTTAACTAGAAGTTAAATTCAATAAAGATCCAGTCAAATTAATGTAAGAATCAAGATATCCATGTTGTGTCGTGATACTAACAAATTAATGTAAGCTATCTTATTTATCTACAATATATTTAGGGTCCGTTTGATTGTAAAGATGGAATTGAATTGAATTGAAAACGAATTCCAGGGATTGAATTGCCTAGAAATTATTTTCCAGGGAATTGTAAATTATTATATTTGATTGGTACAATTTTCCACGTAGAAAATGTTAAAATAAAAGGTATTCGTTTGGCTTTATTTTACATGAAAATTGTCAATTAAAAGGATAGATTTTACTGGTATTGAGAATGAAATTTGTTTCCATTGCCAACAAATAAAAAAATAAAAAATTCAATAAAATCGTCTATTTTTTTGTATTTGTTTGGCTTTATTTTACATGAAAATTGTCAATTAAATGGAAATATTTTTTTACAATAATTCTTAGAATTGGCTTCTATTGCAAAAAAAAAAACGAAAATAAAATAAAATGCTAATTTGAATTCTCACCATTTTGGTGAGAATTCAAATTCCTTGAAAACAAAGAAAATTGCAATTTCCAAAAAATCTAAGAAATTCAATTTCATGGTAAATATAAGCTATCAAACACTCTTTTTGTGAAAGTTGAAATCCAAATTCCATTTTTTAGAGAAAATTTTGTTGAATCAAACAATGCCTTAGTGTCAATTAAGGAGAAAATTTTGAATACCAATTTTATCTTTATATATTTAGTTATATGTTAATTCTACAATTATATATTTAATATAATACCATTTGATATAATTTAACTTCATTTAATATCCGTTTAAATATAATGCTTATTGTTTTGTATTAGAGTACTTAGAGTTTTACATTAATTAAATTAAGTTTAATTACTTAAATGATATTATTTATTTAATTTTTCACTTAAAATCGAGGCTCACATATATAGATATAAATTTATTATATTTATATAATATAATATATTAAAGTTTCATTATTATAATGGTAGATTAACTACAATAGAAAATAATATTTATTATTGTTTTAATATAATTATTAATGTAGACAAGCTTTGATTTCAAGTGATTAAACATAATTTAATTAATATAAAATTTTAAGTATTCCAATATGAAAAATGAACTTTATATTTAAAAGGAAACTACATGAAGTTAAATTATAATTAATCTATCATTAATGTCACCTTTAATATATTATAATATTATCTCATATGCATATATTATATTATTTATTATTTATATATCTGAACGTTCATATACTTCAATAATTACAATATATATAAAAATAAAATATGGAAATAGACAAGAAAAGTTCATTTTACCATTTTGTCCTCATATAACATTGTCAACATTTTTTATTCAATGATTATAAATTGCGTGTTTAATTAATATAATATATAATAAAGCAATTTAAATACAAAGAACAATGAATTGAAAAGAAAAAATTGCTTAAATGTGCTAAATTGTTTGGAGGAAAATAGTTGAAGATGGGAAAATTATTCATCAATCTTAAAAATCTTACTAATTATTCCTATTAATAGGAGTTACTTACTCTTCCCATCTTTATATCCACCCCATTTAATAAAAGCATCTCAATTATACATTTTTCACTCAGATTTTTAAGTAGTAATAAAATTAATATTATGTGTTCTAAAAATTAATTAATGTAATATTGGAATTTTATTATTATTGTATTTTCATTTTTATATAAGTATAAAATTGATGGTAATCCAATTACTTATTTTATATATAAAAGATTTTTATCTCAATACATTTGAAGGGAGAATTTTTATTCTTGCAATTGTACTCATCCCATTCAAAAGAAAAAGAACACTTTTATCTAAAGATTTTTCACTTATAAAAGAACACTTTTATCTAAAGATTTTTCACTTATATATCTGTTTTGAATGCAACTTTGGTTTTTAAATTAAAATAAAAGCTATGAATTAATATGACAAGCATTTTTTGTTTTTAAATGTGTTTAGATAAAATACTTTTTTATTTTTACTTTTTAAGGTAAAAAAAATTTATGTTACCAAACAAAATGATTAATTTTTTATTTTTGAAAATCATTTATGTACCTTTAGTTTACTTATAAGTAAATATTTTAAATTTAGTCAAATGTACATATCTTAATTTGAATCTTCTTTATGTTCTTTTGCACAATAATGTTGGTCGATGCCGCTATAATGGTTGAAAATGGGGGTCCAACCAATGTCTAGCATAAACAAATAAGTAAAGAAAATATTACATTTTAGTTTATTCAACATTTTCACAATATCTGCGTAATCTCATAAACTTTTACACACATATTCTTTGACAAGTTTAATTTTTTATTTAACATTATCAATTACCTTATTTTAAAAATGTTACGCATATCATTTATTTCGTGCATAAGAAGTGCAACTCACGTGCTTACTATTAGTTGCTAAATAAATGACAACCAATATAAATTTTACTCCTCACAGTTGAAAAATATGATCTAATATGCTCAACCTACCTGTATGTGGTGAATAGTTTGAGATCTTTATACGAGTCTCATATTTCTTCGATCTTCTAGCGTATTGCTTTTTACCTAGCCAATTGTTATATGGATTCCGAGGGTTAACAATATTTTATGATGGAATGTTGGAAATTAAACATGATTAAATGAATTCATGAATTTATTTACTTCATTAATTTCGAACTTCAAGTACTTCTATTAGCTTGGGTCATTACAAAAATATGCATTTTTTAACAACTCGAGCTTCTATGTTCAAACCATTATATCGTATGTACTGTTTGTTTTTGGAGCAACAGGTGCCCATCTCACCCCTCACGGCTATTTATTACCTTTCTCAAAATTCGAACCCCAAGTTCTGAGGTTTTTTGTATTCAAATTTTATAGGACGTGATAGAAAGCTATGAGAGGTAAAATATGCACAAACTTTTTCAAAATAAACTAT